TGTCCAGACCATAATTCTTGCGCAATATTACAGGCCGTAATATCTTACGTAAGATTACGTTTATATAATTTGCTGATATGGTTCTTCTTTGTTGTTGTTAATGTTATTAAATAAGATAGATCTTTTTTTATTAGTATCATTTATCAAATTCAGAGGTTTTTCTTTTGTCGTTGATGTTGTTAAATTCGAAAGTTCTTTTGTTATTAGTGTAGTAGTTCTTCTTTGTTATTGTTGGTAACATTTAATAAGATAGTTCTTCTTTTTGATATTAGTGTTGACAAATTCAGAGATTCTTCTTTTGTTGTTGATGTCATTGAATTCAGAGGTTTTTCTTTTGTTGTTGATGTTATCGATTTGGAGATTTTCTTTTATTGTTAATGTTGTTGAATTCAGAGGTTCTTCTTTCATCGCTGGTGTTGTCGAATTCAGAGGTTCTTCTTTCATCATTGGCATTGTTGAATTTGGTAACTTTTCTTTTGATGTTGGTATTATTAAATTTGGTAGTTTTTTTTTGTTATTGTGTTATTAAATTTTGTAGTTTTTTTTTATATAGTAATTTTATTATTAATTTATGTATTATTTAAATTGTAAAAATGTAAAATAAATAAATAAATTGCATAATTATTATAAAATTAAATTAAAATTTATATTATATATTTATTATTTTTTTAATATTATTGTAATATAATTTTATAAATATTATATATACATTATTATAATATAGTAACAATACAAAACTATGCTTTTATAATGCATTATACAATACAAAGTAATAATATTAATAATTATATATAAATAATATTGTAATAATATAATAATTGTATTGTTAAATCAAATTTATAAAAACTCTTTCCAATGATTACTTGCTCCAAATTTTCTGCCCAAAGAAAAATAAAATTTTGTTGGATAACATTGCTTTGTACTCTGACGAGATGGTTTTTGTAGAGGTTAACTGCACTCTCTTATTTCTTTACATATTTGGCATACAAGCCAAAAGCATTTTGATACAAGATAACTGGCAGGAGGTGCTCTTGTATAGAAAATTTTGGTGGAGATAGTTTTCTGGAGAGAAGGGTTTTGTCGATAAAGTCTCTTAAAAGTCAAACAGAAAACACAAGAGAAACAACAAAAGTTTTTATTTTTCAACACACTTTTTACAAGTTTTGTAAGTGGTTGCTCATTACTTTTAAAAATACCTTTTATAACTCTTGCTGCTCTTAAAATTTTTTGTTGGATAAAAAGTGGTGATTTGGCTTACCCTCTCTAAAAAATTGACATTATTTACACTCCAAATCCGGAAAGCTGAGTAGATTACAACTATGTGTTTGACAGATACAGTGCTACTAATTTGGACAGGTCCTGGGTTTTAATAGCAGCAGTAGGTGACTTGAGATACGGGTCTATGGATGACGACAGCACCTGGCTTGAGATACAGATTAGGTCTATGGCTAAATATTCCGGAGTTAGTCTTATAGTTGGAAAGAAATACTAATGTTAAGGCGAAGCTTTACAGTAGAGATATACAAATGTTGCATTTGTTATATAATTTTTATACTTGCTTGGTATAGTGCATCCTCTTTTTTTCTTTTTTTGTGTTTGGTTTTGTGCTATTTTTTGATAAAGTTAGCTGCTATTTTTTATGGGAGATAGCTTTTTCTTGTTCAGCCTGTCAGGGTTTATCTTTTTGTTTTTTCTTTTTTTTACATTTTCTGTTTTCTCTATTTTTATTCCTTATTATTTTCCCTTTCTTGTTTTGTTTCTTTTTTGTATATAAACTCCTTTTCTTCTTGATGTATATTTCAGTATTAAAAATATGGAACATTATTTTCTTTTGCTCTTGGTGAAGAAAGTAAGAATGAAGAGATAGGCTCTTGGTGGGCTGACAAGGTCTTCTAACTTACATATAGGTTGGTGCAACAAGTCGCTCTTGGGCATACTAGATATAGCCGGTGATATTGGGCTTGCAATTTTCTATACTGTCATTATTTATTCTATCTAAGTTTGTTTAATAAAGTATTGTATTTGAGCTCTGGCAAGACTGTCAAAGAGCTAAAAAAAAAAAAAAATTGCATTATTAAATTTTTTAAAGTTTCTGCAAAGTATATATAAATATATATATATATATATTAAAGTTGTTGGCAAAACTTTGAAGTTGTAGTGAAATTGGTAAAAGTTTGTTAAATACTATAAAACTTAAATATGTAGTGCAATAGCAAATAAATTTAAGCTAAAATTATAGTAAGCTCAAACTAAGCCTCACTTACAACTCTAAAATGTATATAGTTATATATACTATATACAATACTAAATAATAGTCTTATAAGACTGTTATCCAGTTACATTATAATATTATCTAGTTAGGACGATATAGTCTAGAATTTTATAATATTATCTAGTTAAGACAATATAGTCTAGAATTTTATATTAGATTATGTCTGTACCAAGTAGATTATGTCTGTTCTGAGTAGATTATAATTTGTGAAACTGTCCTCAAGTATGTGGCTAGTTATTTGGTTTCTCTTTTCTAAATCGCCCAACTAATTTGGAGAGAAGATGCGCGATTCTACTTTTCTTGGCCTGTTTGGAGACCATCTTAGTTGCCGTCTTGGCCAGATTCTATATTGAGGTGCTTATCTTTTTGTGCCTATTCGGTTGCCTGTCAAAATATCAAAATATAGTAAAAAAATATTGTGTCAGGTAGCGAAGTAAATCTGTGTTTAAATTTGCCTGGCACTATAGCATAATTCTGGCTGATCTTTATAACACATGATTTGAGAATCTATCTCACCATGATAGTGACCCAATAGTGTCATAGCACTAGCAGGGAACTGGCAGAAAACCGGAAAGGTTCTATTAGTTTGCCAGTTCTGGATTACTTTTATGCTGGTTTGGATACCAAGTTATTGTATTCAAAGATTTGGCCGAAATTATAGAATAGTGCTAACTATAATTAACCAAATTTACTATGTCTTGGGTTTTGGATACTTCCCTGTCATCAAGAGCGAAACCAAAGGTATTATGCTTATGATGTTTTCAAGGTATATTGGTGGGATGTTGTAAGCTCTTCTGAGGCCCGATTATAGTTTAAATACGTTTGTACTAGTCGAGGCAATGAGTATGTGAAACTTTGGTAACCTATATTCGCATGTTTTTAGTCTGTTCTATTGCCAAGGATGAGGCACGAAGTGCCGAATTAGTTTTGGCTATACAGTTTTCATATTTTTTTTCTCATATTTTCCTGAGCCTTTCCATCTTCCTGAGTCTTTTCTTGCCTATTGCCGGTACTATGCCAAAGCAAAATTTCTTATTTCTTTTCTATATGTTATTTTACCTTGATGTAGTACCAGATCTATGCTATGTTTTAGGTTTCTAGAACCCTTTCTCGCATAGTTGTAGTTGAGGCAATGAGTATGCTAATTTTATGAGCGTCACAAGTGGCACAAGTTAGTATACGAACCTGTGACAGGTTTGTTATCTTTCTTGAGATTATTAGGTCGTCTTATTTCTTTCTTGACTAGTATCACAAGTGTCACAAGTAAAAAAGTAATAAATTCTAGAGAAAAAATTAATTTTTTTCTATAGCACCTTTTGGGATATATATGTAGTATGCTATAAAAAATAAAAAAAGTTAGAAACTTTGAGCCGATTTCTCTTGTGACACCTGTGACACCCATTGAGAAAGCTTTCTTTTGGCCTAGAATTCTTAAAGAGCCTATCGTTTGCGTCACAAGTTCGAATTCTAATTTGTGACACTTGTGACAACAAAAAATCTGGCCTATTTTACATCCTAATATACCTGAAACTATTTGAGTGGGGTTCAC